AGATAATCCATTCATTGAAGATGAGGATTCTGTTAAAAGGTAAATAGTGGCTTTTAATAAGTCTATCTGTTTTAAAAATCCGGAAAATCGCGCTTAAGGAATTGATTAAATGTTGGCTAAAATAGAATTTTCAGTAAACCAACATATCTCTTTTGGTAGTTCGTTGAAAATAGATGTACTGCAATGGTAGTGTTGTAACGCTTGCTTGAATAATTCCCGGCTAATTCCTATCGCTTAGTATTCTCTGACCACAATACACTGGACAAGTTCCAAGGAATCAAAAAACACGGTGAAACAGGAAAAGATTATATTCCAAATAGCAAGGTTGAATGGAAATAAGAAGCCGAAGGCTAAGGCAAAATAGATACAACGTTAGATTCTTTATAGTATTTTCATGAGAAGCTTCTGGATTGTAATTCACGTGACCGACTGGATTGGATTTAGCCAATCAGCGTGCAGCTAACAACACGAGAATTTTCTCTGTTCTCCAAGAATTGATCGAGAGCTGATTGGATAGGAAATTAGCCAATCAGCGCGCAGCAACGTAGTCATGATTTAATCCCATCTATGTCCCACTAACAGGTAGCAAAACTAGTAGGGAAATATTATCTTTGGTGCATGGGGAAAATCTAGCAATTAAGCAGCGAAATTCTATAAAAAGCAAAGAACGTAACAGGTGATATAAACCATCCTCACACTTTATACGTACAAATGAACTAATTGATAATAACTTCTTATATTGTGTACACTTATTGCTAACAAGTGCATCGTATAGTGATATTCACGTCAATCATATCTATCATCAAGTATCGATAGATAAATTGAAATAACTCATTTTTGACACCATTGATATCCCTCAAAACCGTTTGCATGGCGCAAGTGTATCCACTCTTTGTGTTCTCCCAAATCCTAACCTTCTGAATTCCTCATCAGCTTTAAGTTCTTTCACTAGATTCTACTTCTTGAATAATATCGTCGAACCCTAATCTTATCGATTGATGCTAATACTTCTACTACGTCTACTACAATTGGATTTGCAGTAACAATTCGTGTGCTGTTACGGGTATTTGTTTGAGGCTTGCTGGACGTAGGAAAGACACCGTAAGGAAGCCTCTTAGGGCTTTACTTGATGATAATCAAGCTAAGAAAATATTTCAGGAGGAACTAGATAAACAGTTAGGCGGCCATGCAAGTGATTCCCATCCTGAAGCAGGTTGGAATCATATCAAGAATGCTGTGGAAACAGCAATGGTATCTGCTAGCAAAGTAAACCACAAGGCTAGGATGAAGCCGTGGGTATCAGTCGCATCCACCGAACTGATGGATGCTCGAAAACGCATACCACCTGACTCTGAACATGATGAAGAGCGTAGTCAGCTTAGGCGCAGACTTATAAAAAGCCTACGTAACGACCGTGAACAGTGGTGGATGGCGAAAGCAAAAGCGATGGAAAAGGCAGCGGCGATAGGCAACACTAGACAACTTTTCCGCCTTATTAAAGAAGCCGGTATTAGGAACCCGAATGTGAGTGAGACTATCTCGGAAAAGGATGGTCTTATTATCCATTCTCAATCAAGGAGGCTGGACCGATGGGCAGAACACTTTAGGGATCAGTTCAACTGGCCTTCAGCCACACTTCGGTTGCCCACGATCTCCAGTCATCCTGAATGGCAAATCGATTTAAGTCCTCCCAGTTTACATGAAGTTGAGAAAGTAATAGGAAATCTAAGGGGAGGTAGAGCGGCAGGTCCCGACAGGCTTACCCCTGAGATGTTTAAGTATGGTGGTCCAATTTTAACGGTTAGACTGACCGAGATCCTAGGTAGAATCTGGGAAATGGACGTAATCCCATCTGACTGGTCTCAGTCGCTAATTGTCCCAATCTACAAGAAAGGACAGAAGTCCTCTTGTGACAATCACAGGGGAATAAGTTTAACTAATATAGTTTCTAAATTGTTAGCCTCGATTATACTTAGACGTCTAACTAGAGCTCGTGAAGAGCAGACTCGAGAAAACCAGTCTGGTTTTCGACCTGGACGTGGTTGTATAGACCACATCTTCACACTACGACAGGTCCTGGAACACAGACACACATTTAGACGTCCGACGTTAGTCGTGTTCCTGGACCTAAAAGCGGCATTCGACTCAGTGGATCGTGAGGTTCTGTGGCAGTGTCTGTCATTGAAAGGTGTACCAAAGAAGTACATTAACCTTATACAAGCACTCTACTCGAACACCACTGGTCGGGTGAGAGCATATGGCGAACTGTCATCTGAATTCTCTACATCAAGTGGTGTCCGTCAGGGCTGTCCACTCTCTCCATTCTTGTTCAACTTTGTCGTAGACATCCTCTTAGATTTAACATTAAGCTCGTCAGATTTTTCAGGGGTTGCCCTTCTACCAGGAAAGTCGCTTACTGATCTAGAATATGCCGATGACATAGTTCTATTCGGCGAAGACGCTGACAAAATGCAGAGTCTTCTGACTACCATGAGCAACAATGCACGCATGTTCGGGATGCGGTTTTCCCCCTCGAAATGCAAAATGTTGCTTCAAGACTGGGTTGCATTGGCACCTGAACTAGTGATAGGGAGTGAAGTATTCGAGCGTGTAGATCACTTCACTTATCTGGGGAGTCTCATCAGTGCTGATGGTCTGGTGACTGACGAAATCTCAACACGGATACAGAAGGCTCGATTGGCTTTTGCCAACCTGCGTCACTTATGGCGTAGGCGTGATATCCGTTCGCTAACCAAAGGGCGGGTGTACTGCGCAGCAGTTCGTTCTGTTCTCTTATATGGCTGTGAAACATGGCCGTTAAGAGTAGAAGATGTTCGTAGGTTACTAGTATTCGATCATAGATGTTTAAGAAGCATTGCTCGTATATCGTGGGACAGCCGAGTAAGCAATGCTGTCGTTAGGAAACGAGTACTAGGTAAGGATGGCAGATCAATAGATGAAGTAGTGAAACTTCATCAGTTGAGGTGGTTGGGACATGTGTTACGTATGCCTAACCACCGACTGCCCCGACGAGCTATGTTTTGTGGTGTAGGAGTAGGTTGGAAGAAAGTTAGGGGTGGCCAGACCAAAACATGGCAGAAATCCATGAAGTCACTGACAAGTGGACTGAGTCATGTTGGTAGATGTAGACTACCTGGTTGGGGTCCGCGAGACGAAAGTCATCAATGGTTAGAGACCTTGAACGACATGGCTCAAAATCGTTTGCAATGGCGCAGGTGCATCCACTCTTTGAGCTCTCTCAAATCCTAATCTTCTGGATTCGTCAATACCTCTGCCTTTGTCTTTATAATCTTATCTCACTGAATTATATTTTTTGAATAATATCTTCGAACTCTAGTCTTCTTTATTAACATTAATACCTCTACTATCTTTATCACTATGGGATTTGATTTGACATTTGCGTCTCTGTGCTAATAATGTGGTATGGCAACATGAACTTATGTACATACGTACGAAGTTCTACGTTGCAACTGACTGACTGACTGACTGCAGTGACAATCGCAGCTCTGTACTAATGTGGTATGGCAACTTGAACTGATGTATGTATGTACGAAGTTCTATGTTGTTACTCACTGACTGACTGACTGACCATTGTCATATAATACGTAAATTACTTACTATAATGTACGAGATTTCAGAGTGAATTTTGCAGTTAGAGTCACATTCTTCTCAACTATTTGTTGCATACATCTCTTCATACTTTATCAACAATATGATATAAAATGTCTTATACTTCACTGTATTTTTTTTAATAGGAGGTCAACTCAACTGGATCTTATTGGAGGTAATTAAAACGCAAGTCAATGTACAATAGTATCGTGTTATATTTTATTAAAGTTCTAATTCAATCAGTATTTTAAATCTGTTTGTGAAGTTAAGTGTTTCTTTTCTATCTAACTTGATAGTCAATCTTTTTTGTTTCGAGTTTAGCTGTTTAAATTATCTTTAAATGTGAAACATTTCGACACTGATTACTGTGTGTAAATACCTTGGTTTCACAGACCACTGCTTGTATTTCTAGAAAAATTCACATATACTTACAATTTTACGTACCATTATGTATTTGAATGTAATTGGACCTAGGTTTTGTATCTGTTGACTCTCTTTGTAATTACGTATCTACATTTTTGAGGATACTGTTAGTTCTTGTTTGACCCCAACTCATAATCATACGGAGTTAACTACTTGAATTTCGGAGTCTCAGCTTGCCCATACCATTGAGATGTTTTCATAGAACAAGTTTCAGTTACTTGACATTATAGGGTTGTGTAGATTGTTGAGCTTTATTGAAATCATGAATCGACCAATGTTAGACAATTGCAAACACTGGACGGCCGTTTCTTCGCAGTATCACTGACAAGTTGACTGAGTCATGTTGGTAGATGTAGGCTACGTGGTTGGGGTCCGCGAGACGATAGTAATTCATGGTTAGAGACATTCAACAACATGGCTCAGAATATTGTGCAATTGCTCAGGTGCATTCACTCTTTGTGTTCTCTTAAATTCTAACCCTCTGAATTCCTCATCATCTCTATCTTTCTCTTTCTACATTTATCTCACTGAATTATACTTCTCGAATCATATCTTCGCTCCCTAACCTTTTTCCATTGCTGCTAATACTTCTATTATCGCTAACATTCTTGGATTTGAACTGACAGTTGCGTCTGTGTGCTGATGTGGTATGGTGACCTGAACCGCTGTACATACGTACGAAGTTCTGCGTTGTATATCTGTCTGTCTTCGCAGTACTGGACTCATCAGCAGTGTGCATCCACGTCCCTTCAAGTGTGAATCAAACCCATCTCCTTTGGTCTCATGTGCTAACGCTTAACCTCTTAACCACTGAACCATGATTTCAATGAATCTCAGTTCATTAGTTTGTTTTTACTGTTTTTTTTAAAAAATTATCTCTATTAATGATATATATGCGATTTATTTATCGTTTTTCTCTTTTTGTTCTGAATGTGCTTATTACACAGTAATTGGTTCACACGATGATCCTGTTATAATGGAAACAGAATATTTAGCTGATGAAGCATTTATCACTACACCGACTGCTAATAGTAATATTACTTCACAATTCTTTCAAGAATGTAATCAATTACAGCATAAACAAAAAGAATCATCTTATATGCATCATCATCAAAAGCGTCCATCATTAATGAAACAAACTACACTAGATTGTAATACCAAAGATGATAATTGGCATTCTACTTCAATTACAACTAGTACTACTGATAGTGCTGACATTTGTAAAGTGGTTTCATGTTGTGTTGATATACCGATAGTCAGAAAAAATCGTTCCTCTTCAAAATTTCAACGTAAATCAATGGATTGTACAAAGTTATTAACTTCGAAATGTCGTGATTTATCATTGATCGATTGGAAAAGTAGACAAATTATACCAGCATCAAGTTATCCTGGATTATTTACTGCTACTACCATTACTACGGTTCCATTAAATAAAGATGTCGAATGGTAAGTAATCGGATAATGAGTTGTTACATTCCCGTATCTGTCTAATTTACTGTCAGTCGGTAAATCTCCATTATACAATGTGTTAATTTTTTTTACGAGTTTAAGGTTAAATGATCTTCTATTATTGAACTTATGTTTTGGGTTTAGGCGAAAGCGACTGAAGTGTATTAAATGGTACAGGGGTGTAGCATTCGAGCCTTTATAAACGATTCACTTTTCATTCATTATCTAAAATCCAATTTCACATTCGACTACATTTCGAGGTAATGTAGTAGTACCTATTAAACATACCACTTCACGGGATAACAAATGTTAATCCCGTTACTCTAGAAATCAGATAAATGGCGATTCTAGAGGATCAAGTATATTTAATGCTAGCCTCGTGATATCGAAATAATCACGAGACTAGGGTAGTGTTGGTGGACGGTAGTGTTAAGAGGAAAAACTAAAATATGATTAGATCGTGAAATCACTCACTGTTTCGGATTGAGTCTTGTAGATAGATACAGACTACCTAAATGGAGTCGTTCACAGTTATCATCAACATCAACGTAGAACTTTGCACTTAAGTACAGCATTTCAAGTTGCCATACCACATTAGCACAGAGACACGACTGTCAATTCAATTCCATAGTAGCAGAGGAAGTGAAAGTATTAGAAGTAATCGGAGAGATTAGGGGTTGAAGATGTTATTCAAGAAGTATAATTCAGTGAGGTAAATTTAGAAGGAGAAAGATAGAGGTGATGATGAATTCAGGTTAGAATTTCATAGGACACAAAGTATAAATGCACCTGCGTCATTTCAAACGGTTTTGAGTCATGTCATTCAGGGTCTCTAACCATCGGTTATTATCATCTCACGGGCCCCCACCAGGTAGCCTACATCTACCGACATGACTCAGTCCACTTGTCAGCGACTTCATGGATTTCTGTCATATTTTGGGTTTGGCCGCTCCTAGCTTTCGTCCAACATATTCCTACATCACGAAACATAGCTCGACGAGGCTCGTAATAAATAGCTAAAGACTTTGAGTAACACGCCTCTTCATTGTTCACAAAATGGTGCTGATGTGTTAATTTCTGGTCTTCATTTAGATCCCATATTTAAGATTTTTTCCTCCTTCTAAAACTGGTCTTTTCTATTTCTACTGCTTATGGGATTTGATTTGATAATCTTATCTCAGTGTGCTAATTTAATATGACAGCTTGAACTGTGTTCGGTTCTACATTGCACATGATAGGCAAAGTCAGATCATGTGATACACTCTTTTATTGGTTCATACGAACAAACATATATTCTAAATGTGTTGACACAATAATTATTTGGGCGTCTCATCAGTGTAGATGGCGTGGTGTGTGACGAAATCTCATCACGGATACAGAAAGCTCGATTAGCTTTAGCCAATTTGCGTCACATATAGCGTAGGCGAGATATCCGTCCGCTAACCAAAGGACGAGTTTACTGTGCAGTAGTTCCCTCCGTCCAGCTTTATGACTGTGAAACATGACCAATCAGAGTAGAAGATATTCGTAAGTTACTAGTTTCAGATCATAGGTGTCCCCGAAGCATTTCTCGTGTATCGTGGGATCACCCGAATAAGCAATGCTGTTAGGAAATGGGTCCTAGGTAAGGATGACAGGTCAATAGATCAAGTATTGAAACTGCATCAGTTGATGTGGTCGGGACATGTGTTACGTATGCCTAAAAACGACTGCCTCGTAGAGCTGTTTTATGATGTAAGAATAGGTTGGAAGAAAGCTAGAGGCGCTCAGACCATAACATGGCACAAATCCATGAAGTCACTGACAAGTGAATTGAGTCATGTTGATAAGTGTAGAGTACCTGGTTGGGTTCCGCGAGATGAATGTCATGGCTCAAAACCGTTTGCAATGGTGCCGGTGCATTCATTCTTTGGCTTCTCTCAAATTCTAACCTTCTGAATTCTTCATCACCTTTATCTTTTTGTTTTTAAGTTTATTTCACTAGATTTTACTTGTTGAATAATATCTTCGAACCCTAATCTCTCCGATTACTTCTAATACTTTTACTATCTCTACTACTATAGGATTTGAATTGACAATTGCATCTCTGTGCTAATATGATATGGCAACTTGAACTGATGTACCTACGTACGTACGTACGAAGTTCTATGTTGCTGTTGATTGACACAATAATTGTCTGTTAACGTTATGTTGGTTAATATCCAGTGTCAGACTACTTGTATATTTATCTTGTAACTCTGTTTCAAGATTTCATTTATTATTCAGTTTCAATGCACGTTCCTATTTTGTTTTTTATTCCCTTGTAGTACATCTATCATTCCATTATATCATTCAAACAGTGTTATTGACCAAGAACTTAAAAAATGTTCTGATGAAACGTTAGTAAAAAATAATCATGATGCTGACGGCGCTAATGATGACGGACACGATAAAAATCATCATCATCATCTTGTCTCTCCATCTTTACTATCATCATCTTTATCATCACAATCGAATATTTCATGCTCGACAAAACAAAAATTATTTGAAACTACTACTAAACAACCTGTTCAACTCTTAGCACCATGGCAACATAATAAACCATCATTATCTGGTTTTATTAGAGAACCATCAATGTTATTAAATGGATATACTGTGAATTCTGTTGGATCTTTATCTCCAATCTCTTCAGAAATCAATTCTTTAATTTGTAAATGGTTTATAAAACTGGTAAGTTTGTAGTATTTCGATTTACTGCGTGTTCTTAAGCTAGGTAATTAGCTCGTCCAGACAATCCTTAATAAATAGCGTCTGACGGTTTATAAATCAGAAGGTGAACACGAAGTGTTGAATACGTTTATTTGGGACACACCACAAAGCGAAGCGGAGAAGCAGTGAATAAAACGAATGAAGCGACGTGAATTGGAGAAGGCTGTTGAGCCAACTCCACTTGTAGTGTACACTGGCAAGCGAATGAGCGACTGAAACGAATCTTATGGGGCGATGTGGAGAAGGCTAATGAGCCAACTCAAAGTAATAGAGCGTGACTAAGAGTTTATAGTCGGACAAATATAAGATAGACATGCGACAAGCGAAGTAGGCATGCACACACATGAATAAAAGCGACGAATAGTTGACAAGGTCAAATGACAAGCAGAACACGTCATGTGGGCTCATACAAACCACACAATAATAAGAACGAATGGTACATATAAATTGTTGCAATACAAATGGCTCGGTTAAATAATTTATAAATCGAAAGGCCTAAACCAAATTAAATGTAAGCGAACTGGAATGTACGTGGAGGCACTACAAGTTAACTTACAATCGTTTTTTTTTAAAAACTAAGACGAAGATTATCAGAACTTGTTAACTTAACGTATATTTTAAAAAATAATAAAAGGTCAGCTAGTCAAATGGAAAGGAATAAGAAACAAAGATTAATATGTAGCTCATAACGCTGAATAGCAGGACAATTTTGCTAGTAGCGCCTTCGAAGAAAAAACTGGTGGGCGGCCTATGCTCTATTGGGGGTAACAGGCGTAAGTAAGTAGGTAAGCCTTTGAACGAATAGCTGAAACCTACTTGTTGACACATTCTGAAGAAATAATGATTCAATAACATGTTGTGCTTACTTGCATCAGAGGCTGAAAATCTTTCCATAAGGTTAGATGTCTCTCGAACTACAAATCCAAAGGATACTGGCATAGCCTTCGTAGACGCATTCATTACCACTAACTGAAAGAGTAGCGTTCTTTCTTTATTATCTTTTCAGTTACCGTCAATTCCTATAATATCTGTAAACTGGCGAACTATGTTCTGATTCCGTGTACATAAAGAATAGTACCGCAGCTAACAGTCTGTGTTTCACTAAATCTATGCTTCGTCTCAGTTAGACGTTGTGTATTCGAAAAACTATCTATTTAATCACCATTGTGAATAATTAAGCGAACCTGGAAGTTTTGACTTCTAAAACATAGCGACTCATACTGCTAACATCTCGTACAACAACTCGATTTCCCTTACGTTTAGTAAACAAAATCGATTATAGCTCTCGACAGTGATAAAGAGTGAATGCTCTTCATTCGATCGATCCCCTGTCAAACAACGGAGGCATGGACCTTCGCTCAAAAACAATATGTGACAGATCATGGTTATAAGTCATTGACCATTCCGTCCGCTAGAGCGAAGGACAAACATCCATAACCATGACTTGCTTTTGTGGAACATAGCCTCCACATGGTTTTTCGATATAAAAATATGTGGAACGACATAAGTGTGCGGTAATAACATTTATGAAATGCTACTTTTTTGAAGCTCACAATTTTTATTCATCCGAAAGTAATCTCTCTATTGGACCCTTAGAACCACATTTTTAATTGGTCTAAGAGCGAGGGATACAAGGGCACTATGAAATGCGATTTCATGTCCGTAAAAAATTTGGCTTGGAAAAAATCCTTCAGATAATAAATACGTAAACACTGTCGGATAGGATTCAACAAAAAATGAACGCAAAGAAATGTTTGTTCAATGAATTTTGAAGTAATCCTTAAATGCGAAGACATTCAAAGCCGATAGGTTTCGGAAAATTACATTTCCATTTGTCAACAATATGTAACAGTTTGACTAGATTGGAGTTTATTCTCCACTTTAAACTACTAGTACCTTCGGATTCCACATCACGCATAAATTTATTTTCATCACTGTAAATAGATAAGATCTTACTTTTATACTCATGTTTGTTCAGAATAACTACACCTGATCCTTTATCAAACTTCATCAAAACAATAGC